GAGTTTGTAGACAATCTGCGTGGAAACGGTCGAGTTTAACCAACGTTTCTTAACGAAATGCCGCGTGTCTGCTCTCGTCTGGGCGCACGCATCCAGGTGTAGTCGCGTCGTCCGAGTTTGAAAAACCCCGCAGTCGCGCGCAATTGATGATAGTTCCACACCAGATGTAATGAGCGCTAACGTCGTCGAATTAACGACGGCCTTGGCTCATAAGCCTTGTCGGGGCCTGCTGCCTGCTTCTGTTTACTGAAGTTTGGCGGGAGTAACCCCGAGAATACCCGGGATGATCCGAGTGCTTGTCTAGTGTTTCCTCGCGCTCGGCTCCAAACGGGAAAGCAAGATGTTTTCGTTCCAGCAAGAGTATGGATGGATTTTTTAGCATTTATACCCGAGAAATTCGCGGCGAGGATTGTGGATTACGTATAATCGTTTTTCTGATTAGTTTTTTTGACACCTATTCGACTTTTTTGGTTTGTATTCGAAAATGATATTTTGGAATCAGCTGCGTGCCCCCCCTGCAACAGTCTCGCTCCCCCCTAGGGGGGCGCGCCCCACAGTTTGGAACACACTGGAATACTAAATTAGATAGTTCTATGGAAAAGAGTTAGAGTTATTATAAATTCGGAACTTTTCCCGTCTAGACTTTGTGTAACCATCTATCCGGTACTTTCCTTTCTGAATGGTCAGGCGCCTTTCAATGAGGAAGTAGATTCACCCAACTTTTACACACACATATATATAGTTCAATTAGTTAACAGTAACAAAGCCTCAAATTTACGAGTAAGCATCAAATTTATAATTGACATTCTTTCTATATTTTTTATATTATGTCCTGCTTGCATAATTTTAAAAAAAATTTGGAAAGTTCTTAATCATTACTTTGCATTATTTCTATTTCTAACTAAATATTTTTGCTACTGCTAAAGCTTAAAAGCTGTAAGCATGTAAATTACTAATATTATATTCAGATTTACTAGGATAAGTGCTTAAGCTTGAGTTTTCCGCAGTTTACCCAAGAAATGCAATCGCAACGTTAAGTCTCCAAATTTTCTATCAATCTGTTCTTCAATTTGTTGAATGTTTGACTGCATTTACTTAATCCTTTAGATATTGAAAAATAAATAGATATTATGTTAGTTTCCTTAACTATAATAATATTTTAAACTATTTGGTTTTACTTACGAGTTGAATACTCGTTCTCTGGGATAGTCCAGCCTTTAGGTCATTGCGATCATGTTCGGGAGGTCTTGAGTTCATCCCCGCCAGCCGACAACTTCCTGTGTACTAAATGGTGACTGGAGCAGGATAATTCGGTCTGGGTCACAGTCCTCCAAGCTCTTATGGATGGTGTTTTCATTATAAATGTAAACAATAACAATCCCGAGCTCGATACCTGCTCTAGTTCCGGTTAAAAAGTTTGCAGCTGCTTACTGCATGTTATTCTTCGAGGCGATATTTTCAAACAGATAATTTTTGTTCTCGTCAAAAGAAGTAAACTAGATGATTTCTGATCCCCGCCAGCCGACTACTCCCTGAGTTACTAAATGGTGACTGAAGCAAGATAATTCGGTCTGGGTCACAGTCCTCCAAGCCTCTGGGGAAACTGGACAGGAGATTGGTCATGTTCTGGTTCCGCGGTCAAAATAACAATCTGCGGATGGATGGGGTGGCGTGTAAATGTACCTTTCGTGAAAATGGGATTTGACGTATGTATGTGTTTCAGCATCATCCTCAAGTATTTTTACCAGACCGTCACTATTAGTTGCTAATTACTAACTGCTAGTTACCAATTCCGAAATTGACCAAATATCGAGGCAATTGAACACATGAGGACGGTCAACGGATGGTGTTTTCAGTACAAATGTAAACAATAACAGTCTCGAGATGTATGCCTGCTCTAGTTCCGGTTAGAAAGTTTGCAGCTGCTTACTACACGTTATTTTGCGAGTCGATATTTTCAAGAGGATAATTTTGTTCTCAATAAAAGAAATAAATTAGAAAATTTCTGAGCTCAAATCTGCCGTATTTCATAAGATATTAATGTTATTATGTAATTCTGGTGAGTTTGAAGTGAAAATTTGTTTTAGTTATTGTTAAAAATTATATTGTTAAAAAAGGTGACATGGTTGCTAGATTTTGAATAACTCGCTTTTTTGGCAGTCTTGATTTGGCCTCTTTCCATTTGTTTATTACTGTTTGTTCGTGTTGCAATCTGTGTACCATCCTACGTTAGTGTTAGCATATTGTTCGAGGAGCAAGATTAAGTTTATACATTAGAATTCAGGTTTAAATTTGAAAGTTGGCATATATTATTGACTAGGTTAGAAGTGTTTTACAACGATTTTTTTTTCATATGTTAGGTTTACATATTTATTATTGATCAAACCAGATGTTTCTACTACTTAACACTACTATTACTACACAACAAGAGCCACTTCGAGTTTTAGAATTCATTGTAAACTAAGTAATAAGTAATAAAATAGTACCACGTTTGCAAGAATCTTCAAACACAATGATCACGTTGTGAGCCAAATGACTTTGAAATACACCGGAAACAGTAACCCGGAAGTATAAGCGGTATACAGCTCGCAGCGCTCCCTATTGTCGAAAACACCAGCCATGCTGTGCTGTTTACTGGCTAGAAATAGGCAGCTATTGTCACCCGGAAGCTCTTTAAATCCCAACAAACAATCATGCTGCTTCTAGTGGTTTCGGTTTTTTGAAAATTTATCTCTCATTCATTAAAATAAATGTATTTTATAGTATTTTTTTGTGACTGGAATAACTCTATTTTGTTTTTATAACATAATAATAATCAATTCATTGAGCTGTTTCTAAAGTCTTTATTTTATATATTTCTATTAGAAGTGAAAACCTTGATATAAATTTATTTTAATATCTGAATCACAAATATGAACTTCATAGGATCTGTGCATTAAACCTGTTATTATTTAAACATGTTAGTATACATTTCTTTTTTTCGTTGAACTACTTTTTTTTTTTTTAATTGAGCAGTGAGAAAGTAATGGATGCTCTTATTTTTTAGATCAATTGGTTACTTAACTGAAACGTTGATATTTATCAACTATGCCTCTAGCTGATTTCATTGCTTCTCTGCAAAATAATCCATATTTTGGAGCCGGTTTTGGACTTGTTGGTCTCGGTGCTGGATTAGCAGCACTGCGGAAAGCATCTATGTATGGTATGATGTTTTTTCGACGACATTACATGATTACATTAGAAGTTCCATGCAGGGATAAAAGTTATCAATGGATTTTGCAGTATATCACAAATCAAGCAAGGAATACTCAACATCTAAGTGTTGAGACAAGTTATAAGCAGACTGATACTGGAAAAATATCAACTTCTTTTGAATTTGTGCCAAGTGTTGGAACTCATTATTTTTTGTAAAACTGTATTTTATTATTTTTTTGTTAAATTTTCGATGATTAACAAATAAAAATGTTTTACTTGGTAATCATTGAAATTTTAAAAAGCTTATATTAATTATTTCTTACAGTTCTATAACATATATTTTTTTTAATGATAATTACTTATTAATATAGTTACTTGCTTAAATAACATAAATATATATTACAGGAGTTAGATTACAATTTATTTTGCACGATCAATTATATTGAAATTACTTTTTTAATGTGTTATTATTAATACAAAATTTCTGTTAACTTAAAATAAATGCTGATTTCATTTTAAAATATCCATTATGTTGAAAATTGGTTTTCTAACCTTCAGAACAATCTAAAAGATTAAAAAATAGTTCAAAAACCTCAAAGAAAAAATATGTTCAATGCCTTTAAAACTAGAATTTTAAGCCTTTTTTTAAAATTTATTTTTTAAACCAACAAACATTGCATAGTGAAACAAGGTAAAGTTAATTCATTGTAATAACTGAATACTTTTTTCATGATGCAATAATTGTATCTTTATAATGATAATATTTAAATCTAGATTTTATTTTATTACCAAATAAAATAATGTGCAAGTTTTTAAGGTGATAATTAATAAAGTTTATTTATTTGAATTACTTGAAAATGTTGGAATCAAACTCTAGGGTTTGATTTGTAGGTGCATCAATATGTGGGTATATAAGGTATTGTATAATACAACAGCGACATCGATAGAGTTACAGGTTTGTGGGGTTCGGCTTCCTATGAAATAATAAGAAAATTCACAGTTAAAGATAAGCAAATATCCTCCATTTAATTGAAAACAAAAACAATATTATTTGACAAAAACTGGATGTCATAGTAAATTATGCTTCATCTAATTTTCTGGAAAATTTGTAGCACAAGATATTTTTTTTCTTATTTTACTTGTTATTTCCTATTGTCTATGTAAATAATTCCTTTTGCTAGAAAGTTTAGGTCTATCTGCTTCAATGAAACAAGAAATAGTGCATTTCATAAGGAGGGGTATTCTCTCACCGATCTGAGCCAATGTTGAGCCACACTTCTACTTGAAATAGTTTAACATCACAATCATTGTCGCCAGCGTAGTTCCAGACGGTCGGTGATAGCGATTCTATCTACTAATATTTCTTTTGGTTAATTTTATTTTGAAAAAGTGAAGGGCGTATATATATTAAACTTTGGTGATAATAATAAAATATGAATAATATGAAGCTGAATATTAAATATTAATAGTTTGTCAAGAACTCTTAACTTAATGTTTTATGAAGAATTAATTAATAAAAATTAGAGACTGCTTCATGTTCTTAAAATTCTATGATTTGTAAAAAAAAAATTTTGTATTTAAATTGAAGAGGAAAATACTAGCCTTAAAATTAATGTCGAAATTTCTGAGCTCAGGAAAAACATTATCAATAATTTAACTAAAATTTTTTTTTTGTAATTAATTATTAGTTATTTATAAAATAAATTTATGCATCAGTAACTAACTAATAGTTATTTCAATTAACTATTATTTTAATTACAGTTGTACTTATAATACCTTAAATAACAGAAAATTTTCATATACACTGATATTTTAACTTTCGTATTAACCTTTTGCTTTTGTCTGGCTCAGCAGGTGTCATAAGGTTTATTAATACTTTATGATTTTTTGCACATGACTTAAAACACTGTTTTTGCCAATATTGTAAGAATTAAAATATTTAACTATTTTTGCAAAATAACAGCAGTAAACACATATAAATTTATTGAATTTTTAAGAACACCAGGCTGTAATGTCACTGAGGAAGAAGGAGAAAAACATTTAAATAATTATTTTTTTTAAATTTGCCATTATTTTGCTAAGTAGTTAGATTTTATGAATTTATTGTGTTTTATTGAGTCATACTTACAAAATAGGCTTGCATTTTTTTTAGTTATAAAGGCACATGGATCAAAGTTGATAGAACACGAGAACAGCAAACTCTAGATTTACATTTAGGAATACCATGGGAATCTGTTAAGCTAACAGCATTAGGAAGGAAAAAGGACACATTTTTTGAATTGTTGTTAGAAGGTAAAATAATTTATTAAAATTTTGTAATTTTGATTGTTTTAAAGTTTATATAAGCTTATTATTACCTTTAAAATATTCATATATATTAATCAAGGCTGAATAAATTGTATTTATTCGAATCATGGATATTTTTTTTGTATAAATAGCTTGTGTATATAGCATATTGCTTGCATAATATACTTTCTTGTGTAGAATAGCTTACATAGTATATATTTATGACTTTAAAAGACTATAAAAAATGACTTTGTTGGAGTCTCCTACAAAGTAAAATACATATTCGAATTTCAGCATATATCTGAAAGCAATCTCTTAATATATCTCATTTTCAAATTAAAACAGAAGAAACAACAACCCATTCAACTACCCCCCCCCCAAAAAAAAAAGATTGCGAACTATTATTATTACTCAATGGTACCAAACAGACCAAGCAAGCATGTTGAATCAAATCAATGTTGCAGTAGTACTGAAATACAAAAGAAATTTTTTGTATCTTTTTTTTTTTAAATGGTTAAAACTTTAACTACTTTTTCAATTTAACTTCATAATATAGATACAGAGAAATTTAGATAAATTTTCTTCTCAAAGTTATTGATTTCAATTCTATTTCTGTCTTATTGGCAGGATATCCTTGCAGTATTATCAAAGTTTTGAAATTATGAATTGAAAAAAGTGACTAGATTGAGTTTTAAGACACAGGGAATGATATTTTCTTCAAATTATTGAAAAAATCGATGTAAGAAACTTTGAGTAAGAAAAAAAATTTAATGTTAAAATTGGTATTCGCGCCTAAGTTTTGAATTATAGAAAAAACAAATTAAAGACATATATATAGTTCTGTATGAGTAATAGAAATTTCACTGTATGTATGTGTTTTCTAGTTTCAGAAATCAATATTATTTTTATAAATAGCCAGGAAGCACTATTTGAAGCAAGAAGAAGGAAAGACAGTTATTTTTCAAGGTATGGGCTCTGAGTGGAGACAATTTGGACATCCTCGAAAACGCAGACCCTTATCATCGGTTATTTTGGATGAAGGCGTTGCTGAACGAATATGCAATGATGTAAAAGAATTTATCAATACTCCATCTTGGTACATAGATAGAGGTAAAACGGCACTTTAAAATACAACCATTATATGGTAATGAAATTGTTTGTAGCATTATTTAAAATATTATTCAATGTGGCATGCCATTTATTATCATTTATCCTGATTTTTAAGTTGTTTTTTCAAGCCCCCCAATAATTTAATGAAACTCAGGGAGTCATTTTAAACATAAGTAATAAAGTCAACTATTTGTTGATCATGAAATATTGATGATCAACGATTTGTTGATCTCTCAATTTATCCCTTTCATCAACTATTTTTAATATATCTTATATACAATTTTGCAGCTTCTTTCATCGTATTTTCTTCACATATAAAGTTTTTTTTAAAAAAGAAATAATACCTTAAATTACATAAAAATAAGAGGAAATTTAAGATAATTTATTCGAGAATATTTCTTTTCGAAATATATCACAATGAAAACATTTAAATAATATAAAGTTACAACTCAAAAGGTTCCATCATCTGTATTAGATTTAATAATATTACCTGTATTATACAGAGTCCATTCTGTCATGTATTCTACTTCATCCTCATCTGCAGAGTCCCATATAAGATAATCTTCGGCCACATAAAAAAGAATTTCAAATTCCACACTTTTCTTTAAAGATTTTACATTAACATTTGAATCTGCATTTTGCCATGCTTCGAATCTCTTTTGAAACATAATGTTTACTGGAGTAAAGTGTATATTTCCTGTATTTGTAAGAGTTTTCCTCCTTCCATTAACCACTTGTTACAAGATGATTGAATATTATTTTTAAAAGGTTTATTTAATGGTGTGCCTTAATATTTTATTTAATATCGAGGTTAACATATACAATGAGTCAACTTAGATACCAGGAAATACAGTACTTTACTTTCTTTTTGTTGCTAAAGTTTTGGAAGATCATGTATTAAAGCCCTTAACTTAAATGCCTGAGATAATTTAGGCTAAGTTAACTCAGCTTTAGATAGTTGTTAAGTTAAGGGGTTAAAATTAGGACAAGTTTAAACACAAGTTTCTTTTTGATAGATACTGATACTGAAAGTTATTTTCTCATCTTACTATTCAATTATTTGTCAATAATTTTTTTATTGTGTGAACTTTGTTTACTTACAATATTCAACATAAAAAAAATGATAAATAATCATTGTTATTTAAATGTAGTTCTTATAAATCAATGTAAATTTAAAAAAGAATAATGTTATCCATTAATTTATTGCTTTTAGTACAAGCTTTATATTGCATAAAATTGTGCTATTGTGGAATCTTCTGACCATGATATTAAAAATTTTGATATAAAGAAATTTTTTGTACTTTAGTAGTGAGAAAGAATACTTATTCCGCAAGATCCCTGTGAGATTTTAACTTTTTGAAGTGATATCTTTGACTTTTTGTTGTTTAATATATGTGCATTTTAGAGTTTATAGTTTGAAAAATATTTGTTGAAAATTAAATTGCTTAAATATTTATATTCACAATAATTAATTAAATATAATATTAAGAAATAAATATCCATGTAAAATTTAATCTTATTTGTTATTGTCAAATATATGCTTCTCAAGTTTTATTTTCAAACCACCTTTCTATGTTTCTTTCTTTAAAAAAGAAAATGCAACTTACTGATATTTAAAATAGAATATTTATTCATATTAATGGATACAGAAGTAAATCTTAGGTTTCCATTACAATTTATTAAATAACAGAAGATGGATAGTATTAATTGGTATAGAAAAATGGATGTAAACAAATTGCATAAATAAGAATAATCTGTGTTTTGTTGCTTAAATGAACAAAAAATATGGTAAATCATTCATTTATATTTTGGACGTAAAATAAATATAATTAAAAAAAAAATCTATGCTTATTTCATTTTGTCACTTAATATAAACTGATATATGTTTCTATAAATTTAAATAAGTTCTAAATAATTTCTCACAATTCATATTTTTGTTAAGAAAAATAAATTCAAGCATTGTAGATAATTTGATATTGTGCTTGATTTACATAGACTAATGAATTTTGGAAAAATAATTATAACAGTTTTGTATTAAAAAATTCTTATTTAAATATTTGTTATTTATATATATTTTTTTAAAAGCTTATTTTTTAACTTTCTAAAGAGAAATATATAGAAAATATTACAATTTGTCTTCAAAATTGAAATATTTAATGTAGTTGCTGAAATATTTAATGTAGTTGCTTGTTGTTATTATTTTTATTGCCTTATATTTTATTAAATTTGTTATTTCATTGCATAATTTTTCATGTATCTGTATTATGAAATTCAAATCCTGATTTCTGAGATTGTATGATACTTTTTTTAGGTATACCATACCGAAGAGGTTATTTATTGTACGGTCCTCCAGGTTGTGGGAAAAGTAGTTTTATGTTAGTATACATTAAATAAACATTTTAATATTATTATGAATAAAATAATTTTAATATATTTATTAAATTATATTGTTAATAAAAAGTTTTTTGAATAATATATATATNATATATATATATATATAAATTGAATTAGCCCCTTGCTTGTATTATAAATTTGCTTATATTTTTATAACTTGCATGTGATTTTAGATATAATTTAGAATTTTTTTTCAATGATGTGTTTTTTGTGTATTCCAATTCCAGAAGGGAAAGCTTATTTAAAAAGGAAAAATAACTGAGAAATTCACAACAGAATGTTATATGTTGTTCTATAAAAACATTCATCATAAATTTTAATAAAATAAGAAATTATAAAATTTTCATATCTTGAGAAGGAAACTTAAAACATATCATACTACATAGAAGGCTGAAGAATCAAAAGTTTTTTACTCAGAGCTTGCACCATTTCTTCCAATTTTGTTTTATAATGAAAGATTATGTTTTTTTATTCTAAGTTGAATATTATGTTTCATTGGGATTTTAAAATGTAATGTACAATAATATTTCCCTATTATGTCATTGTGTGAATTTCAAACTACTACACAACACAAAAGCATTTGTTTTATTTTTCTAAATTCCGAATAAATGACATTTAAAGTAATATTGCAATTAAAACTATTCAGAAATATTGTTATTTAAGACAATCTACGATTCGGAAAATAATGCAACTTCTTAAAGTTTTATTACACTTTTTTTAACATGTATACAATAAACAAAACATATTGTTTACAATTCTAAACATATTCTATATCTATTTTTTAGCATTTATACATGTACTATATTTATTATATACTTTATTTTTTAGCATGAGTAAAGGATTTATTTACTTAAATATTATTTCTTTTATAGTACAGCATTAGCAGGAGAGCTTGAGTATTCCATTTGTATTTTAAATCTCAGTGAAAGAGGTTTGTCAGATGATCGGTTACAGCACTTGATGAGTGTTGCACCTCAGCAAAGTATAATTCTTCTTGAAGATATTGATGCTGCATTTGTCAACAGGGAGGAGTCACATGCAAGTAAGTTTTCCATACTTGTCTCTTCAATTTGTTACTTTGGAAGTTTAAATTTAAATTTCCTTTGACTTTTTATGAAGTACATCTCCGTGGTAGAATTTTTTTCGAGGTATCTGCGACAAAAGTCTCTAGCACTAATATCTTTCTGCAAGATACTTTTAATGATAAAAACATATATGTTACTAATTTAAAATAACAAAAGTGCTGTGTTTACAAAAAAAACTAAATAATTTTTTTAATTGAACATATAATAATTTTTTATTCTAATATTATGTGTGATATTCTCGCATTTTGTTGAGGAGGGACACACAAATTATTTACTTCTTTGCATTTTGTAGATAATAATGACAATAAAAAAATAGTTAAAAATCATAAAATTAGTCTAATGTCACTTAACGGGTTCTTCTACTGAGTTTTTTCGGAATGAATAGATTTATCAATATAAATGAATGTTATATATTTAAATAAAATTGAAATAAGAACTCTTCCTGAGAAATCTCATTTATTTTTTAAAAAGATCACTTAGTCGGTTCTTTCTCTAAGGTCTTCATATACATATATATGAGTTATTCTAATGTTAGAGTAATCAATGTAGAAGGAGAATTTTTTTTCTACCTAATTAAATAGCAGTAGTGTATTTGAGAAAAAATTATAAATATGTATGTAATTCAATCTATAAGACGTTTGGATTATAAAATAATTTTGCCAATTTATGAGCGAGAATATTATCTTGTCAACCATTAGCAAACATATTGTTTGTGAGAATAAAATAAGAAGTTATAAATTAAAATAAATTTATGTATTACGATATTATTTGGAACATCAAGAAAAGTGTTAAAAATGACTAATCATCTTTCATGGTTACTGCGGCAGAATATCAAAAATTTCGAATGACATCATCAGATGACAAATTTCAAATACTTTACTCAAGTGTATACCTTAAAATACTTTTATACAAAGTTTCATTTGACTCTTGCTTTCGGTATGCTTGCCAGACAGTCACATATTGCCAAAGTTATTTTATAATCACTGTGTAAAGTATCTAAATATAAGTTATTATAATCAGATTTTTAAAGTTAATCAGTGTGACTAAAGCACAAATACTGACACATAATTTGTACTTTATGTTGTTATTAACATTGGTTTACCTTATTCACACATAGTACAAAGTTTAAATGATGGGTCATGAACCTTTTTCTAAGTAAATAGAATTCTCATCAGAACATAATTCCCAAATAAAGTTTGATATTATTTAAGTGTAAATTTTGTTTGGTTTATACCTGCTGTTTGATTTGAAGTTTCTGATATATCTGCTTCATTAAAAAAATTTTTTTTTTTCAGATTGAATAAAATGTATTATGAAAAAAAATTTTTTTTATGCAGATTTTAGTATTTAGATTAGATTCAAAAAGTACCAATCTGAGTTATTCATATCAATCTAAGCAGTATCTCCTTGTAAACTATTATTCAGCATGTATAACTTTAAATATTTTATGTTTTTGGATTTTTAAAATAGAGCATATATTCAAAAGATGAGATGTCTCGCACATCAGGGGCTAATTTAAGTAAAATTTCACTTGGATATTCTAAACAGATATCACTCTCATGCTAAATGTGTTAAAGTGATAGTTTTGTTGCAATTTTTTGTTTGTTTGTAAAATAGAACAACGTTTACATAATAGATTAAATTTAAGCAAATTTATTTAAAATAATAATTCAATTTTTTATAGAGCTAATATTTTCTTGTCATTTTTTAAAAAAAATTTGCTGCTCATATAACTGTAGAATTAACTACTTTTACCTACCTAATTAAACATAGGTGTGAATAATTTTTATGAGTTTTATGTAATTACAACTGAGGATAAGTTACACATTACCTACAAAAAAATATTTAACGTGAACATAATTTATTTAAGATAAAGCCCACTCAGGTGGTAAATATGTAAAAAATATAGTTAACCGCCACCCTGAGGTATTCTTTTTCCCCTGTCAGATTAAGTTTATAGCACTGGTTGATTTCTTTACCTTGAGTCAAAGCACACAAATATATTCTGACGTCCCAGTTTATGAAAATTGTTGAAACGTAATGATGTGTACCTATATTATGACATAACCATCAATAAACAAGGGAGAACCAAATATCTTTGGTTGTCTATTACTAGTAGATTTTTATCTATCCCTTATTTAACAGTATTTATCTGCAATATTTATCACATTTTTTGAATATTATACTTTTGTTTTGTAAGGTTTTTAATTCCGATTATTATTAAAATTTTAAAGCTTTGAACCCTTCCTTTTCGCTTCCGTGAAAATGACGGGGTGGGGTTTCGTCCACTATTTCTCAGACTGGATTGTTCAGTAGTAACGCGCCAATAAGAATAAAACTAAATCAATTCTTTTGCCCGGAAAACATTTTATTTCTCATTTTACACGCCAGATAGCAGTACCAGGATATTTTAAAGGTAATTGTAGATAGTTAGTTTATTTTAAACTAGATGTCAACAATAATCAAATATGTGTATAAAAAAATAGGCATTTTTAAAACCGTTTTCTTGAAAATTAACCGATCGTTAAGGGGTTAATCTAACAATGTTCTTGCATTCCCGTAAAGTAATTACATGATTGTTTTCCCAATTGAATCTAAAACTAAATCTGCAGCAGAATCAAATCTGTGTTAATACAATAAAATTTTTTGGAGTCAAATTGAATAGTATTTAATTTTTATGTTACATTCAAATAAAATTAATTATAATATTTAAACTTTTACAGCTAAAGTTGCTTATGATGGACTGAACCAAGTAACCTTCAGCGGTCTACTTAACATGTTAGATGGAGTTGTATCTACGGAAGCACGCATTTTATTTATGACAACCAATTATAAAGAAAGGTATTTAAAGATTCCTTTTTCATCAAAAACTTTAAACATAATCTATAAGTTTATTCGTATGAATAATTTTATTCGTGTATATTATCAGATTAGATGCTGCTTTGATAAGACCAGGAAGAGTTGATGTTAAAGAGGAAATTGGATATGCAACATCTCATCAGTTGAAGTTAATGTATAAAAAATTTTACCGTGAAAGTGGCGAAAGTGATGCAGAAAATTTTGCAAATGCTGTAACACACGTTAAAAACAATGTCAGCATGGCTGAAATTCAAGGGCATTTTATGTGTTTTAAAAATGATCCAAAAGGTGTAATAGATAACGTTAATTTATTAGGGAAATCGTGATATATTTTTAGAAAATAAAGCTGTTTTAAAATATGTGTTTCTAAAAGTTATTTTTTGCATGAAATCACCTTTAGAAAAAGAAAATTTATAATTGTGTGCAAAATTTTTTCAATTTGCTCAAGTAACTTTTGTAACATAGTAAAATACGCAAAAAGTAAAATTAACATGTGGTCCAAACTTTGGACCGCTCTCTTGATCAAACTATTGTTACCCAGATTGCTGTTACCTCCTATAGGAGTTAAAGAACTCTTGATAAGAAAACAGCATAGTCTTAATGTTTAATATAGAAAATGTTTTATTATAGTTATTTTCTAATATTAAAAAAGAAATACACATTTGATAAATATTAATTTGCATTTACATATGACCATGACAAATGAAATTCGATAACCAGAAAACTAACAAATAAACATAATTCTTTTCAGAATATTTAGACATGTTTTATAAAAGAAAAAAAAAATAAACAGACATAGCTAATTAGCTCCCAAGTAATTTGATTTACAGAGTATAATAAATTCAGATATGGGATCATTTTCACCCTCATTCCGCATATTACCAGTGATTTCTTCATTCTCAACTAAAGGAAGAAACAAGTTCACAAATTCTGCAGTATATGGTGGTGCTATAATATCAAGAACTTCAGTTACAAAGTAACGGATAAGAGATATATCTGTATCTTGGCGCTGCCAGCAGGCTTTAATGTAATTAACAACAGAAACAGCACAACCACGACTGAGCAAGTGAACCATTCTGTCCAAAAGCATTTTCTTCATTTCAAGCTGCACTAAAACATCTAAATCCTCTTGAGGTGATTCAAATAATCGAATCAAAAGTTCTAAAACTTTCTGATGAAGAGTATTATGACAAGTAGCAACTTCATCTAACAAAGCTAAATGTAAAGGAGTATGTTCAGTTGACAGTTTGAAATAGCTTTTTTCAGACACTGTGAAATCCACCCACCGGACAACACCTAAAGCAACCACTGGGAAACGAATGCACTGATATAAAGTATTCAATTCAGGAATAAGTTCTGAAGATCCTTTCTTTTCATTACAAATCATATGAACTTTCTCAACTGCCTGTGTTGTAGTTTTTAACTCTTCTCTATTTACACTCTTTCTCATTCCCTTTTTAAAAGTTTCATGCACACTGACCGCATAGGCTAGTAAGAAAATATATTTTGGTTTATGTTCTGGATTTATTTTTGTTCCAGGCTTGAACAAAGAATCCATCAGCAAATCTAAGAATTGTGGTACTCTTATTAATTCTACAGGAGGTGGTTCAGCTGCAACTTGGTACATTTTGTAAAGCACGGTAATATCCGCAGGATTTAATGCGTTTTTACAGAGCATTGCAGATAATGCTCCACACGCTCTAGGAACAGTGGCAGCTCCAGTCAATGCCATGGTGATAGGAGTTGCATTATGTTCTGTTCCTTGTACATATGCACTTGTTTCTTGAGAAAGACGTTTTATATTTGACCCTCCTCTGGGTTCTTGAGATAAAAGATGAAGAAGAGCTTGGCTATATAAGTATGTATGTTCTCCATGACACACCATCCTGGTAAATTCATGAAGATTCTTCTGAAGCTCTTCTTCCCCACCTTCAAGAAAATTTGACACTGAAGTTTTAAGAATTCTAGAAAATACTTCCAGTTGTTGGGAGGCTGTTGAGATACTTGTTATTTCACCCTGATAACCAGCATCTGATATTAGTTTAATAGTAAAGTTTAACATCAGACAGTCAGGATAATCTTCTGCTAACTTATAAATCAGTGACCTCCATGTGTGGTGCTCAATCATCTCAGTCAGCCATCCTGGCGTTTCTCCTTCTTCAGTGAAAATGGAATCTGCTTTTTTGGGATCGAAATGCCTGATGATAACTTCTCTAAGATGATCTTCCACAAGAGCTTGAACCTCTGATATTTTCATACCCGCCATAATTAACCACTCAGCCAAAAGATTAGCTGTTTGTGCAATAGCATGGTAGTTCTCTGAAAGAAGATCTATAACTTGCTCAGGATTTCCTCCACTCTGAAAATATCTTTTCAACTGCGTAAAAATTTCAGGTTCCATTATAAAATCTTGGCTGCTAAACTTCTCCAAACATTCAGCCTGGATCATAGCATTTCTAGCTTCTTGATCTTCTGCAGAGGGGGAGTCTGGGTCATGATCTATGGCAGTATCATCATACCACCCTCTATCTGTGTCTAAATCATCATCATATTCATCATCCATCATCATGATGCTAATGATATACGAGAAAACTTTCAGAAATGTACTTCTAGTTTACCTGTAAACATAAAAATTTAATATTAACTATATGCAAGTTTGGCAAGTTGTTAAGATATCAAAAACCTATGAGAAAAATCTAAAAAGAGTAGCATTTATGTAGCTATAGGTATAAATATTATTATTCATATATACATTGATTGATTATTCATGTAATTGTAACAGTACCCTTTAATATATTTCATTGGTGTAAAATGCAAAAAATAATATGCTGTTTTGTGGCTGCCATTTTTGATAAATAATACACAACAAGATAACTGCTAAGACCACCTGTTTTAACTAGAAAATAAACCATATAAGATAGTAATTTCACAAAAAGAGTGAATACAATTTTCAAACAGAAAAAGATAAGAAATTGATAAATTTATTGTATTCTTTGAAAAGAAACTTACTTAGACTATGAATGTGTCTTTTTTAAATAATTAATGCTTAAGGGAACTTTTCCACTTTCCTTATTACAAGGCAACATGCACAACTGATTATCAATACTAAGTAATCTATATTTCAAAAATTTTTTGGCTATAAATTATGTCCACTTAGGATGAGAATCTTTGAGGTCATATCAAACTTTCTTCAAAGTGTTATAAATTTTTTTTTTTGTGTGTGTGATATAACACTAAAAGAAATAACAGATTAAATTAATTGATTGAGACTTTCTCGAACATTTTTGATGATTGAATTTCGGTTGCTATATTGGAAGGAACAGTTCTGGGCAAATGTTCAAATGAGACTTCATACATAGATCTAATTAAAAGGTCACTGTAATGACGGGTTGTACTAAAAGGCTTAAACTGTATAATTTCTATTTTAATATAGTTACTGTTGACTGTGCATTAATATTTATACATAAATGTTTCATTGGTGTATCTTTAGCACATTTCATACAATAGTATTCTAAACTAATGTTTTTACTTTACCATAAAAATTCGACACGTTTTATAACTCTGTTACTAACATACTACGTCAAGGGTCTGTTTAGAAGAAATTTAGGTCCTTTAACCAGGGTTCCCACTCAATTTCAGGAAAAAAATTCCCTGACTTTTCCAGGTATTCCAGGTAAATTTCAATGAAAATCCATACCATATTTTATCTATACTACGAAATTTTTCATCAGAAAATTTGGATTCTTTTATTTGCTATGCCAAGTATTAGATTTTTTGTGTAAAATAAATATCATAATATGAGGAAGGAAGCATTTCAGTATGTCTAAAATGTAAAATTTTTTCAACAAATAACTGTAATAGATGTTATAATTATTTAACTCGAATCTCAATAACTGAGTATTTTAAGACTGGTTTTTTTCCAGGTATAATAAAGGAATTTTCCAGGTTTTTGTAAGAAAATTGCAACTTTCCCTGACTATTCCCTGATTTTTGGAGTTGAAATAAAATTCCCTGACAATTCCAGGTTTTCCCCGTTCTCCCTGACCAGTGGGAACCCTGTTTAACAGACCTTTCACAAAATATCTTTTCATAAAAACGGACCCTTCACAAAATGATTTTTCTTTTAATCGGACCCTTCACAAATTTGTTTATCTTTATTATTATTTTGTTAATCGAATAAACCCTTTCCAGGGCAGAAAACAAGAAAGATGGATGTAAACGAATTAAGTTTTGTCTTCGGCAGACGATTCTTCCATTATTCGTCCGAAATTAATATTCTGCGTTCAGCAGTATAGGCTAAATAC